CCTACTTGGGGTGTGTATGCACTAATCACATTGATGAGTTCTTGTCCTATTACAATCTTGATTGCCATGATTCTATCTCCTACCCTCTTGACATCTACAACATCTTGTGTCAATGTCTTGTCCACGATGATGCCAACACCGTTTCTCGTTCTATTTGTGCCCGAATACCAAAGTTTAAACTCTGAGTTTTCTAGATCCTTTGCCTTAAGACCAACCCACTTAGTTTCTTGTAGGCACATAATATTTATCCTTCTCCTCACCATAACTTCCACTACTTTCATAGATTTTCCCGTTAAGGTTCCTATATTCCACGTTCCTAAACGCATTCTACTCTCTTGAACTCTACCCTTCTGTCCTAGTTTCTTCACCCTCCCCCGTCTAATAGGATCAAAGTACTTCTTTTGTGTGTCCTGTGTAAAGTTGATAGGAGCATATGCTCCCAAACAACTTTGAGTGGAGTCGTTCGAAAAGAAGTTTCTATGGCCCACTTGCTCATTTACAAGAAAAAAAAATTGTTGAGCTATTAGACGATTGCTCTAGATTTTTCTTTCTGTTGTAAATAAGAACAGGGTGAGGAGGTAAGGAGGGTAGGTACATTAGCATACCAGGGAAGAGGGTGCAGGGAAATATAACTTCTTTGGAGAAATATATGTTGATCGGTGGTGGTGAAAATGTTATATGTGGCAATAGCATCTGGCTATCGCCGTTCTCAAATTTCGAAGGGTATAAAGAATAGTTGTGTGATTATCAGAAAGAGACTGTTGTTTCAACATAGTTACAGGAGTACAAAATACCTTCACTTTGATTCTTGGGGCATTTATCTTGGTTATTGTCTATAGTATAAACTATAAAGTATTTGTAGAATTTGCAATTGCCAGGATAATATGGCCATATTTATTGGTTGTGTATCTACAACTTATTATGTGATAGACTTACTTTGAAGGAAAATCTCGTATGGACAACACTGGTGAAAAGAAGGAGATTGAATGGATAGAGAGAGTGAGATCAGAAGGAGCTGTTCCACTTCTTGATCCGGACAATTGCCGAAATGGTTGGGCTTCTCCACCTGGATACAAGTTCTTGGTTAGAGGTCCAGACTACTTGTCAACCAGGGTTAAGGTTTCTACTGGTGAATATCTTCTAAAGTCTCTTGGTTTTGATTGGATTAGAAGTTCGACAAAGATTGGGGAGGTCTTAAAACATCCAAGTAGTCGTGTCAAGAAGGCTATTGGGGAATAGTTTCCAAAAGGTGATAAGCCTTTCGTTTGGGCTTTCAATCTTTAAGTTCCGAGTAAGGATAATTATAGTGCTGTGGCGTATTTTACTACCAGAGAGCCTATTCCGGAGGGGTCTTTGATGGACCAGTTCTTGAAAGGTGATGATGGGATTAGGAATTCGAGGCTTAAATTGATTGCCAACATTGTCAAGGGCCCTTGGATTGTGAGGAAAGCAGTTGGGGAGCAGGCCATATGCATAATTGGGCATGCCCTTTCTTGTAATTATTGTGCATCAGATAGTTTCTTAGAAGTAGACATGGATATTGGGTCTTCCATGGTTGCAAGTGCAATAGTTCATCTTGCATCTGGTTATATCACAACCTGACCGTTGACCTTGCATTTCTCATCGAGAGCCAAACTGAATCAGAGCTTCCAGAACAACTTTTAGGTGCTGTAAGATTCTCTGAACTAGACCCTGCGGTGGCAAGGCCAACTGAACCATAACTTGGTAGGAGTGCTGGCAGTTTGCAGTCTAATCTTCCTACACGATTATGGAAGTCAATTGGGCAGGGATTTTCCCACATGCTTCATCCAGGTGACCATGAAAATGGCTCTAGCTTGGGCTCACCACGTGTTAATGGGATTGGAGAAAATGAAAGCAGTTCCATAGAGATTAAGAAATGGTAAGTTCTTCTGACCAGTGGTCACCTTGATATTTTTTTTTTTCGTTTTACATGATGTGGCGTTTCTGCTGTGGAAGAAACGTCATCAAAATGCTTCCTCATCATAATTATCTTTTGTTTTGAAAGAAACTTTCAAACAAATTCAGAGAAATTTGTAATCTTTTTTCCTGCATGCAGCTTAAATTGCTTCTTTTTTTTTTCTTTCTGTCCTCTTGTTTTCCCTGTTTCTTGGTCCTATCATTAGGAAATTTGTTCTGCAGGTTGGAATGTGTAATCATACTGTGGCCTGTCCAGTACATTGTCTTCACCCTTTGTCCCATATGCTCCCTTTATCTTGAACAAATAATAAACTATTTCGTTCTCCAAGTCTGAATCAATGTTGCTAACAATTAGGATCTAATTTCTGGTGGCATTGTGCAAAATAAGAAATTTTATGGCATCATTTATTTGCTCCTTGTCAAATGATACTCTCAACGAATGACAATGTACCCATGAATGCTGCTCAGGTGGACGTAAATGATATTTGAACTCGGATTTAGCTTTTGAATAGACACACATTTTAAATTTGCACAAAAAATATAGACTACGGTCCTCTGGATCTTGCGGGATATCTTGCACAGAGGCGAATTGGGCCTGTCTGCTTTATATATGTCAAGTAGTTGATGACGGGGTGTGAAGAAACCTTTCTTTTTCCCTAAATAATCTGCCATTAGCTAATGCTTATTGGGGTCAATTAAAAAAGGGGAATTGGGTTACATAGCCCATTTACAAACTCACTCACCAATATCCAGAGCTTTTAAGGGGGTTGTCGTAATATGGACACATACGCTATATATCATTATACAAGTTAAACGGTTCTTGAAAAAAAAAATTTCTCTACTTGTATAACAGCATATAACATACCTTCCCTTGTTTTGTGCACACTGAAAAATCACCTTTGTAAGGGAAGAGATCCTCATTTTTTTCAAAACATGGAGATTAGTTGTGGGACTTATACCACATCGAACTTCAACAATTCGAACTGTCTATTTTTCAAGTTATATCTCAAAGATTCTTGCAACATATTAGTCAAATTGTAAATATTTGAGACATAAATGAGTTCAAATAAATACATGAACACTGTGTTCTGAAACATTAAAATTTTATTATGACAATTAAATTGAATTGAATTGAATTTTTGTAAGAATAATATATGAATTGAGTGTTATAAAATAAATAAACGAGAAATAGAGAATGTCATTTCTTTACACAACTTGCAGACAGCAAATCAAAAAATAAGTCCCCAAAAAATATAAAACCCAAAACAAAACAAAAAAAACCAATAAAAACTAAAAGCCCAAAAACCCAAACCCAACACGGAAGTGTCGACAACAGGCGCAGTCATCTTCTTCTTTGTTTGTTTGGTCAAAACTCTCTTCCTGTTTAGCCTGTTCTTCTTATTCTCTGCAATCTCTGAAACTTCTGAAACGATTGGTGAAGGTAAAGCTTCTACGTCTTCCCATCATTTTTAAGCAAATATGAGATGGGGTTTTACTTTTACTTTCTTTTCTCACAGATTCATCTTCTGGGCATCCCCATAGAACCCTTTTTTTTTTTTTTTTTTTTAATTTTTTTATATTATTAAAAAGCACAATGCTTGTTTGCTGCCATCTCCTTTCAATTTATTTTTAAGTTTGTTTGTTGGTGGGTTTTTCTATTCGTGTTGTTTGAAACCAAAATACCAGTTAAAGTTCAATTCCTTTTGTACTTCTTTCATCTGCCAAAACCAGAGCTTTCCCTTTCTCACATTGGTAGTTCATACTTGTGGCTTGTAGGACTAATATTATAGTGTGATTGTCTGAATTATTATTGTGGTTATTTTTTAATTATCGTGATTAATTAATAAGGAATTGACTTGATATTCATGCCTCTGAATGTTTGTAATAGCTTATAGTTTACATCAAAATTTAGTGATTGAGGGATGGGAATGGGATAATCCAATGATATCTAGATTTACCTGTATGTATATAATCTTCAACACGTGCCTTGAGTCATCATTGTCTCTTGGAATCTTACAGTGTTCGGAGGCGGTGTAGTTTAAAACCGGAGTTGAGAGAAACCCATTTTGAGGTTTGAGTTTGCATCCAAATTTTGTTGCATGCAATATCAAGTAAAAGTGATGTTGCTAATTAGTTAATCCTCCACACCTGTGTGGAATAATTTGGAATTTTGTGTTATAGAAGTTGTCTGGCATCGAGTTAATTTGTAGGAGGAGTTCCAACTTTGTTTTGATTGATACGTATACATGACATGCGCAAAGCTGTCCATTCTAGTTTCCTCAACATTGCTAGTTACAATCGGGCATATATTTTTTTTTGTGAGCCAAATCGAATTCCTTGTATTTGGGGAAGTGTTACTCTATAGCGCAACAATTTTTTTCGCAACTGTCAGTGCCAATTGGTTTAATGGGTTTGTTGATGGATCTATTCCCTGTCACTGATTAATTTTCTGAAGTTGAATGTGATGATGGTATTGTTGAGAACGCTGCTGTGATTCTGATGCTTATAAGGTGTCGAAAATACATGACAAAGCTTTAATGACATTGATCATTGCTACTCTGTCTCCTTCTGCATTTTCAAACATTATTGGTGATCATAGTTCTCAGGAAATGTGATGATGGTATTGTTAACGATTTGCTAATGTCACTGGAACTAGTACTAGAAAGACCTGTTCTTGCTGTTGTGGCAATGGCAAGGATTTAGTTATCTAGAATTGTAAATCTGATATATTTCAAAGATATAGGCTCACAAATCCTGGGGGTAAGATTTGTTTATTCCAGATCTCGAAAAACGGCTGTGGATTAGTTGTCTGGCTAACGAGAAGACAATTATGAGAATTGTAGTCAAGCTAGACTTTGTGAGGTCAAATCTATATAATTGTATGACTGATATTGGAATTGTTTAATTGCATTATCCTTGCCAGTCAATTTCATAACATGAGTTGTAGATTTTTCTTTTTTGATAAGCATGAAACAAATTAGTTTTTGTTTTTGCGCTGATTTCCATATCGTTTATCAGTTTTGATTAGTTATTATTGGTGTCTTAAAGTTGCAGCCAACATGCTTCACAACAACTAATTAATGAAGCAGGGTGTTCCGCAATGGATTTCAAACAAGAAGAGAGTAAGACGGTAACCATGGACTCTACAAGTCAGGGGATTGAGGGTTCATCTGTTAAGATAAAGGTGTTGTTCTTTGCCAGGGCTCGTGGCCTAACTGGCTTGAGTGATATGCCACTGGAGGTGTCCTCTGGTAGTACTGCCCTTGATTGTTTAGATAAGCTCATCGCCATGTTTCCAAGCTTGACAGAGATCCGCGGATGCATGGTGCTTGCTCTTAATGAGGCGTACACAGCTGATTCTGCAGTCGTCAAAGACAAGGATGAGTTGGCCATAATACCTCCTATAAGTGGTGGCTGAAGGCATCTCATATAACCGACTGTAAGGATGTCCATATATTCTAAACCTTGAATAGTTATAGAAGGTTGTTCATAGTTATCGTTGATCTCATACGCATGCAAGTACATCCATAAAGCCGAAGTCTTGGATATCTTTTTTGATAGGTGAAACCTCGGGTACCAACAATCGTTATTGTCGACATTTGGTAGCTAATAAAGGAGGAGAACATAAGCACATAACTTTAGCTTCTTGGGAGATGTATGATGTTGTGTTATGTGTACAAACCAGTAGTACCCCCTAAATTATCTGCTCCTTTTTTTTTGAAAGTGCAGATGCATCTGCAAAGGCTGCAGCAGTTGTGCCTAATAATTTGATGACCAAAGTTCATGTTTTAAACCTCGATCGGAATGTTCTACCACTCTGCACTGTCACACGGGCCACGAACAATTAACCACATAAAAAGACATGCGAAAGATTATTAACCACATAAATAGGAACTATTATCTTCCACTTGGTAAGAGTAAATATCCATAAATGAAATAATGTCACCTAAAAAAGAGTTAAAAGACTTCTTAAACCACTATTTGTCATTAGTTTATGGACACTCAATGTCCTATTCTTAACGGAAATACATATTAACTTCAAGAACAAAGTTTCCAACCGTAAATCTTCTATGTTTGGTAATCCGCAAGAGGCTTGTACCTGAACTGTTTAAGAGCATTCTTCCATAGCACTCAGAAGTCTTGAGTTCAATTCCTCCCTTTCCCATCATCGTTTGTGTCAAAAAGGGGATTCCTAGCAACCCGACTTCAACATGACAGAGAGAAATAGCAATTCTGGTAAAGAAATTGTGTTGAAAGTATTAATGCATTGTGAAGGATGCCAAAGTAAGGTTTCCAAGTGTTTGAGAGGTTTTGAAGGTAAAAATTCTTATACAAATATCTCTGTTCTTTTTACTGTGCATCTCAATTATAATATACTGAGCTAACGGAAGACATGAAGCAAAACAGAGCGCAGTGACGTTCTAAGATTCACATAGCCGACCTCACTTAGTAAAATAAAACTTGGTTGTTGTTGTATTTCGATAGTATAGTGTACTTGCATGTATAACTTTTGGAGATTTTCTTTTGATTGATTAGGTGTTGAAGAGGTTGTGGTGGATTACCCAAATCATAAAGTGACCGTAAAGGGGAAGAAAGCCGACCCTCTAAGGGTTTTGGAGAGGGTACAAAACAAGTTTAGTAGAAACGCTGAACTCATATCTCCGATACCAAAACCAAAAAACAAACAGAAAAAGGAGCCTGAAAAGAAAGAAGCGGTATGTTTTTTATTTAAACGATATTCTAATCCATCTGGTCTAAATTACGGGGAGAAGCATTCATTTTTTATACCGATATATATTACCGTTGTCTTGTTTTTGGGACTGGAAATGTAGGCTCCGCCTCAGGTGAAAGTTGTGGTTCTCAAAACGTTAATGCATTGCGAAGACTGTGCAATTGACGTTAAGAAATACTTGGAGAAAATAAAAGGTAAATCCCTATTGGAAAGGATGCGCAACTGCTGATTCATGTTTTGTATCATCAAAATCGGAAATCGTTTATTCATTGAACCTAAATGGTTCATTTTTCTATTGTTCTTAATTCTGAACAAGAAATATCATTTCTCTTGTTGCCTATAGAAAACAAGATTTTAGTAATGAACGAGAATAAAACACAGGGATGACGGACGAGTTTAGGGATCATTGGTGAAATTAACCGGCTTGTTTTTCTTTGGCATATTGTAGGTGTTGGAAGTGTAGAAGCAAATATGGAGAGCTCAAGGGTGAGAGTGAGGGGAATAGTTGAAGCAGCAAAGCTGGTGGAGTACATAAAGAAGGAATTAGGGAAGCATGCTGAGATAGTGAAGCAAGAACAAGGTGAGGAGAAAGGGCAAGGAAAGGACAAGGCAGATAACAAGGGGCAAGGGAAGGACAAGGCCAGTAATAACAAGCAGCGCCCGGAAGGAGGAGGAGAATGCGTATTCCAATATCCACCACAGTATTCAACCCAGCACATTTACCCTTGTCAAACATTTAGTGATGAAAACCCCCTTGCCTGTTCCACAATGTAAAAAGTCAATAGTAAAATTGAAGTTTCAGTTTCGGTTTGTCCATGAATGAAGCGATTTTCGGTAACAACAAGGTTCATAAGATTCATCTGTAGAGCCGGCTTAAGTAAGTGATTAATGCCGTATTAACTTGCATTAAGACTTGAGGGAGGGATTGGTATATTTAGTAGGAATTCTTAATTTCAGAGTTAATACATAACAGCCACAATCGTTTTTGATACAAACCAAGGCACAACTACGTAGTACTTTTAGCACGGTCATCGGCAAAGTACTTTCTTTTTCTATATACTTCACAACAAGAATCATTTTATCTCAAACCCATTACAGGCCATGGATTTACTCCGGCTGCTGGCAGCGAAGGTCGCACTGTAGGCACCCGCCTCACCACTGAAAATGCTTCATTGAGACGTGCAGCACGACTCGTGAACTGAGACACCTTCTGCAAAAATCGTTCAGTTATATATCCTAGGTTGGCCACTTCAACATATATCTCAAAACAGAAGAGCAAAAGATCACATTTGTAAAACCAAGTGCGTAACTCATATAACAAAATGAAATCCCACCACAAAACAATCATTTTTTTCTTACAGCAACATGAATAAGGTTCTACCATTTTCCCACCCCTAGCCTAAAACCGCTTGAGCTAGAGCTCACGGCCGAAGACAAGGATCTGAAGAATAAGTAAATCCAACAAAACTTGTTCTTTTTAACCATTTCCTAAGATGCACGATGAGGTTGATTATCACTGGCTTCACTTGAGGGTTTCTGCAACTTTTAATCCCAAGTAAAAATTGCCAAAACAGGAAAATCACCTATAGCTCACTTGGCAAAGACACTTTAAAGATAATGCAATCATGCAAAATATAAGGATTTCATTTCTTGTTAAACATTCACTAGTATGACTACTGGTCTTGTGATCAGTGATCACTGATCGTGCCGTATTTTTTATTTTTTTTACTTAGTATGGATTATGGCTTCCAGGAACTCCTGGTAAAAGTTTCACAAAAGAGCCCCTTTACCTTTTTGCTAATTTGAAATTATAGAATAAGTTAACAGACTTCATCAAGAGTCTAGTTTGTTTCTAGTTTTATGCGTCCACGCAGAACTTTCTTACTGGCCTACATTAAGCAAGCTTTTACATGTTCTTCTAAAGAGATTACTTCTCTCTTGTGTATAATTTTTTTTTAAAAAAAAAATATTAGATTCACTGATCTCTGAGCCTACATTTCTTTCCAGTTCAATGCAGCCATCAAAATATAGACTTGGTTTAAATAAAATTTCAAACATTTTTACAGGCTTCTTCCCTTCACTTATAGAACCACACCAATCCCTAAAATTCATAAGTGAAGATGCTGCGGCAAACGAAAAAAAATTGCAGATACATGAGCATTAAGATGCGCTGCGAGAAAAAACAAATAGTGGATAGAGGCCGAAGCCAAATGGTGGAATAAAAATCAGTGGGTTGTGGCATCAGCATAGGTCCTTGGATAGTCAACTTGCAGGGTATTAGTTTCTTTTCTTTGGATCTATGTTTTGTTATGGGGAAAGGATAAGAGAATTAAGTTTTGCAGGACAGAGAGATTGGGGAACCACCTTTGTGTTAGTGTTCACAACTTCCAAAAATGTTTGCTATCTAAATGTTTGTTTGTATAACGTTGACTACTTGTTCACCTCTATGTAAACTTTGATATTTAATTTTTATCTTAATCAAGTATCCTTTGTTTCCAAACCAATGAAACGAGAGAGAAAAAGAGTGATACCAGTTAGCAAACATAATATCATAATCTATCATGGAGAATACAATAAAAATAATGGATGAAGGTGATTAAACAGGATTTTAAAATCCTTTGCACCAGAACATGTCGAGAACAAACAAAACAGTCAGAGAAAAGTACTACCAAATGATATCTTTAAGAAAAGTAATCAAGATTCAAAAGTACAAAAGAAAGATGTGAAATGGCAGCATTAAAATTTTGCTTGGCACAAATCGCCAAACGATCAAAGTCCCAATAAATTGGCAAACAAAAGAAAAGACATATCAGTATGAATCCAATTGCACTTGGGTAGGTTCCTGGTTTTTAATAATTTATTACAAGAGGTCCTGCGAATATGAAGAGTTTGATATAGTGGTTTCAAAGAAGTAAACTAATGCCAACATACTGAGAAACGACCTCAAATGTCTGTCGACTCAACTGATCACATGAGTTGCAAAAAGCATCGGATTTCAACTTTTTAACTTTCCAAATAAATTACAAACACTAGTGCATGAACAGACGCAAAAAAATTTATTACGCAAAATGATAGATTAAGCTTTTAATTGACAGCCATAACGTACAGACCACATAGTGATCGCAATGCAGGCATACTTAATATATTGCAATAACATGAAGTGAAAAAAATGATCACTAGATTAGCCAATAATAAAGTGCAATAACTGACCTTATCATCCAGAGTAACCTTGAGCTGCAGGCTCTGGCTCTTCCGCTTCATCTTGCGCAATCTCCGCCCCAAGAACACCAAACCCATTACAGCTGCAGCGACGGACAAGGACCAAACAGGGCTTACCCTGAAAACACAATACTTTAAAACCTCAAATGGGACCTTCCACCACAGGATTGTCCTCTTCACTACCTCTTCACCGGATTTCGCCTCCGATTTCTCTTCTTCAACTGCAGCACTTTGACTCTCAACTGATTGTCCTTCTTCTGGTTCATTGTCCAAGTTATTTCCACTTTCCAAACCACTAAAACCTATCTCGCTATCCTTCGCAACCTTCTCAAATTTCGCCGAAACCAGACTGTCGCCGCCTGAATCAGACCATAACTTACCCAAATCCTTATCAAGGCTTCCGTTTTCCCCAATTTCTTCAAAGCTCACTCGGCCCTGAGCATCCAACCCAAATTTCCCAAAATTCTCGTCCACAGCTTCCATTTCTCCAAACCCCTCAAAACCCACATGGCTTTTCTCATTTTCCACAAAACCCAATTCGTTTTTGCCCTCAAAATCATTACTTTTACGGTCATCGGACCGGTCACTTGCCGAATCGGACCAAAACCCACCCGATTCTTTTCCGCCATAGCGAGTCACCGAATCCGGGTCAATCCAACTGGGGTTGTCGGACTCAACAGAACCCTCTTCGGCGACATCAACCACCGCCTTACCATACCCAAATTTGTCATGGTTATCGAGAGAGAAGTAATCAGGCCTGATCATACCCTCGGCGTGAACATCGATTCCCTCGAAGCTCCTGGGGGTTTGAACCGAGTCGACCGAGTTAACCAGGGCAGGGTCGAAGCTGTGGAGCACCTCCCAGTCCTGCAACTCACCAACTTCTCCTCCTCCTTCCATGGCGGGAATTGATTGGCGGGTATTCGGAATCGGAGAAAATGATAAAAGCTCAATAGAAATAGTAGGCAATGAACAGAGACTAGAGTAGGGCAGCAAACCCTAACCGTGAGCAAAGAAAAATGAGATTTCTTTCCTTTTTGGCGTGTAGGACCGCGCACCTGTGTGTTGGATTCGCAACAAAATTCAAAGACAGACAAAGACCGTTTTTATTGGTAAACCACACACAAACACAGGTACCCTTTTTACTCTCCCAATTCCCCCAAAATCCCTAATTCCCAAACCCAACTCCTCTGTATTTGGATATTTTGAGCAGAGTGATGAGGACTCAGACGGTACCCTTCGTTGAAGCTGGGCCACCTGTGCCCTGTGGTGTTGAAGAATGGGGGGGATAACACAAAGGATTAAAGGAAGAGGTCAAGTTTGTAAATTTCAAATAGTATTTGGAAGCTTTGACTAATAGGATCGTGCCACGTAATGGGGTAGAGTGGGATGGGGAGTGGTGGGAACACTGCCGCCTAAGGAGAGAATACACGACACCAGTACACGGATAATTTTGACATGTCCTTTTCCTGACAGACCGGGGTCGGAGGAAGTGGAGTTGGGGTGGGCAGGGCAGAGGGCAGGGTAGAAATGAATGAGTGCATGCAGATAGAGTTGAGGGGTTTTGGCAAATGACGGGGCTGTTGGGGACTGTCTGAGACAGACCAAGTAGGATGAGATCTTGCTTCGAAGGCGGAGTATGATTCTCTTCCTTCCTCTTTCCATCCTCTCATTTCACATCCTTTTATTTTATCTTTTTTTGATATAAAAAATTAATATAAGATGTTAACGTGACTTAATCATGACCGTTCAAATATGAAAGAAGGAAAGGAGAGGAAAAAAATGAAGGGAGACAATTGATTAGTCAGTCATTTGCAGTGTCGCATTACATAATAAATAAAGGGGTGTGTGGACTTCTCACACACCCATTGATTATTTCTGTCTGTTGATCTCCTTTAATTCATCTGATCTGACGGTCGAAAATTAAAAAGGTTTATGAGAAGTAAAATGAGGTGTGTGGATATCACACCCATAAATAAATAGACTCTTTTATTTTATTTTTTGTGGGGAAGTAGAATAATAAATGCATACGCCGACTTGTTAGAGGTGGTGACTGGATGGGATTTGGGTAGGGAATCAGGGTTTTTTTTGGTTCAAACTTTGAAACTTTTTATTAATTAAAAAAAATTATTACATGAAATAGAAAACATAAAGGTAGTTCAAATACAAGTATAGCTCATAAGAAAATAAAATATAAATGCTAGAAAAGCAAGACCACAATAACAAAATCCTTAGATTTAGAAACGCCCTCATTACCGAAGAGGAAGAATCCACGAACAAGTTGGATGAATAGAAAATTGAGATGAACGAGCCACCCGCACAAAAATTGGTCCCACAATCTTGCCAAACAATACTAAAAGCACTTTAACAACCACCCAACACTAAAGTGCCCCACCTAGAAGAGACACGGAATGGGCCGAATAGCAAAGATTGGCATGGAGGATTGATGATGGAGAAAAGCAATGGGTGAAGAAAGGCGCATAAAAGTCTAGATCTAAGACAAGCTCAAAGAAACTAGAAATTAAGAAGGTTAGTGGGAACAAGGAAGAGAAAAGAAATAGGAAAATTGAGAAGAGGGGACTAGAAATAGGGGAGGGAAGGGAGCGGGGTAGAGAAGTAAGTTGCGGGTGGGTGGGGAGGTAGCGGGCTAGAGAGAAGAAGGAAAAAGAAGAACAACAAGGGGATCGCCTGCCGACCCAACTAGAGGAAGGAGTTGGCGGCGAGAGCAGGGGATTTTTTTTTAAATTTTTTGGGGGCGGTGGGTGTGTTTCGTACAAGAGAGAAAATGGGAAGGGGCTAGGGAATCTCGTATAGCACAACTATAATATTGATATTTAGAGTTAATTATATAATATATGAGTTAGTTCTTTTTCATGTGTTTTTACATTCTTACTATAAAACACTACCTTAACAGTATATTCGTATTTTTAAATTACTGTCGGAAAAAAGAGGATATTAAACCAACAGCTTCATTCATGTGACCTTAACAGTGCATTCGTTTATACAAGTTGCTATCGAAATAAACCAGATATTGATCCCAACTTCACTCACATGTGATGTACTTTTTCTCCACGTTGTTCAAACCAACGTCACTCACATTTCTCCACGTTGTTCAAATAGAAGACCACCGATTTTAAGGTCATCTTCTCTAAACCCAATTTGAAACTGGAGCCTCCTCCCGACAATGTTTAAAAATTGAATTCAATGTTGATGGATTTATTTACAAAATGAGCTTGCGTTTTCTATAAAGAAAGAATATACTATTTATCTTACGCACGCTCAGTCTGCTCGACTTATAGAATTTTTAGTTTATGTTTTCAAATTATAATTGTCAACAAACCTATGGCGTGTGATTGAGGGACGGTAGAGTCCCTTTCTCGCATTTGAAGAGTTTATATATATATATATATATATAATGGATTTATTTACAAAATGAGCTCGTGTTTTCTATAAACTAAGAATATACTATTTATCTTACGCATGCTCAGTCTGCTCGACTTATAGAATTTTTAGTTTACGTTTTCAAATTATAATTGTCAACAAACCTATGGCTTGTGATTGAGGGACGGTAGAGTCCCTTTCTCGCATTTGAAGAGTTTATATATATATATATATATATATATATATATATATATATATATTGTCAATAGTTAAAAGTAGGATTATGAAGGGAAAAGAGGCCGGTAGCCTTGAAATCGGGTGAAGAGAGCTACAAAGAGTGCTTAATCTTTCATATTAGAAAGTCAGAATGAGAGTTTGGTGTCTCAAGGTTTCATTAAAAAGAATTGGACTATAAAGCCCTCAAACAAAAGTCCACAACTTGTCACGCCTCGATCCCGACATACGTCCGGGATCGACACGTGACATCATCAAAGAACTACATATCTAACATACCCGTCCCTCGGGATATGTATCAAGCACATGCCATACCTCGAATTGCATAGAATTTTTCGTATACTTTTGATCGGATCATATTTATATATATTTTTACTTCAAATTTACTCGTCTTTTCTTAGTTAATTCCTTATATTTTTGAACTATTTACGTTATTTTTGTGTTTATAGGATTTGTTATGCAAAGAAAATAAAAATGGCACAAATGAGTTTTAAATAATAAATTCGTCAAAAAGTAAGATTTGTTTTAGTTTAAGTATTAATTCTTATCCCTTCCACCTTTAGTTTAAAATAAGTAATTGATCCAAGTTTTATATTTTGTTATGCATACACACACATATAAATAGACACACACACGTTGTTCTCTACTTTTGATATAGTAAATATGCATGCAGGTGCTTTTCGAGCTGGAGGTGTGAGGAAGAAAAGGAGCACTTGGGGATCAAAAAAGAGAAAAATAATAAAAAGCTTTGCAGAGTGTGGTAGGTGAAAGGCACAGAAGGAATAAAAAAACTGCACTTGCAGCATTAGTGTGGTGGGTGAGGCATTAGCCTCGGGAGAGAAAAGAAAAAAACAAGACCTTGCAGCCTTGGCAGTGGGGGGAACGAAATAAGCTGCCTTTGGCAGCAGATAACCGAGAGCTTGAGGAGAGAGCTGCCTTGCGGCAGCAGAAAACTAGAGCAGAGAGCTGCCCCGTGGCAGCTGTAGAAAAAACAGCGCGGAGAGAGAGGGACGGAAAGAAGCAGCCAAGCTGCCTTTGGCAGCTCAGAAGAAAATATAATAGACTGACGGGGAGAGCAGCACGGATAGGAGAGAGTCCAGAGGAAAGCTGCCATTTGGCAGCTTGAGCAGGGGGAGCACAGCGCCAGGCACGGCTGACAAGCGGGGACTGAGGGCAGAACGTGCAGCAGAAGAAAAACAAAAGGGTCGTATATTTTCTCAAACTCATGTTTAATTTCTATTTTATTTCTGTTTTAATAATGTGTAATTAAATTTATTTTGGCTAGAGGTTAATTCGAAACCATGAATATATTTGTAATATGAATTGATTACCTTCAGTTGTGATTTATAAGTTGTGAATTCAATTTACTTATCCGTTCGTATAAAAACTGATTTGTGTATGTTGGTTGAGAGTGCACGCTTAATTTTCATGCATGAATTTGACGCTAGAATATAAGGGAGTTTCACCTAATCGTTATGAACTTATATTCACAAGTAGTGAAGGTTGCTAGTCACAATCACGTTAAGTAAATTCTTGGCATAAGTTTCATGCAAATCATAGTAACGAGTGTCTCGTCAATGCTTATGTTTTTCATAGAACTTAATGATTCTTGCTTGTATCTCTATTATGCAACTCATGTAGGGAACTTGTAGGGAATGTTTTGGGTTGTCGTATGCAATCATCCAACCCAATAACTTGTGGAAAAACTGAGGGTTAATTAGTGCAATTCACGGTTAATTTGGGGCATTGAGTATTAATAGCTTATCGAAAAGCAACTGAAAATCAATTCATGTTCAAGTGTGTCATGTGTGAAGAATGGATCTCTAGCTAATCCATCAACCATATATTTAGTTACTTTTTATCTCAATCACAACCAAAACCAATACCCCCCATTTATTTTCTTGTATCAAAGTGTGCTTAAGTTTGTTTTGAACTCTTTGAGTCTAGTTTAGTGTTTTAAAGCCTACTTTTGTGTTTTTAAGTTTCTTCTTATATTTTTGAGTCAAGTGAGAGGTTATTAGCAAGCCCTCCTAATCCCCGGCCTAGAACGATACCTTACTTACATCTATACTACAATTGTCAAAAAGAGGGTTTAATTTGTGTGTTAACTTATTTTTCACATCAACTTTATGGCTGCATCTAACCTTCTCGTTAGATTGCCTATGTACCCTCATTTGGGATCAAGCCATTTGTAGTTCGCCATTCATTACACCTCGACGTTTATCACAATACGTTCAAATCGAAAAGCATAGCATTCCTCAATCAATTATTAGAACTTAACAAGCATGAATTACTAGATTCATGGTTACATAACAAATCCACATGACATTCAAGGTTTCCATTCTATCCATCATATAAATCACTATGTTTTCAACGTGATATCTCCATCCATAGCATGTAACTTATCCAATAACCAACAAAGCACAATATTATTCTTAAGCCACATTGATCACTAATTAATCCCTTCATAAATCAAGGATGCATGATCTTAGCATTTAACTACGTTAATCAATCAATGAGATAACATACCATTTCACCAAAGAGAACTCTACATAATTCCCTACTTGGGTTATGATTAATAACATGGTAATTCTAATTTATATTCACAAGGTCTATGGATAATTCCCATTCGCTCGAATCTAGG